TTAGATTTAGGTGCTGATCTGGATGCAGGTATTTTTTTAAAGGATTCTTCATTGTGAGATAGGGCCAATTTCATCATTTTGTTCCAACTTCATATACAGTGCCTACAGTACCTGTACAAAAATTGCAAGATAACATCCATATAAGATCTATGACACACCATGTATGATCAGTATCCAGCTAATATTCCTGATCTGCTGATCCTGAATGTTCAAATTTATAGGACTCACTGAAAACCTGCTACTGTGAGACAACAAATAATGCTACAGACTTGCAACTAAGATCAAGTTGTAGCTGAAACTCTGCTGCTTCATTAGGCTGTCAACAGATTTGACATATCTTCAAAAGATACTGAGCTATATCCTGAAGAAAACTGCCATTAGTGAAATACTGTTTGTCTTGAATAACTTTCAAACAAATAATGATATCAGTGTGATTCCAAATGCTAGGGGTAGGTTTTCATCGGCATGGAATAATGCAATGTAATGGCTCTGCCTTGGTGGTGGTTTGCACTCTCTGAGGGCTGTCTAGTTAATTGTCTTTTGCTCTGCTTATATAAGAACTGTCTCTTTCTCAGTTTGTTTCTTCATCTTTCACTGTATATAAGCTATCACTGTAGACCACATTAGAAGGATTAGTAGGACTCTGGAGGCTGGCGTTGTCCATGTTCAGCAGTTTATCTGATTTATACCATTTGATAAACATAAAAATCCACTGCTGCCATTATGGTCATTTTAAAAATATTATCCTGTCCTCAGAGATACAGGGGTACTGTGTGTACCGTACAACCACACTACATTGCAGCAGGGGGAACACCCATATCGTATTTCCTTGACTGTTTACTGTACTTTAGTCCTTGATGTTGTTCAAACCTTCCAAACACAGCCACACAAGTCAATAAATACAGTATAAGGGCTTTGGGTTACAGTCGTCTGTGATTGATATGTGTTGACTTAAACAAATATCTGAAGGCTGAAACCCAAAAATGATTCCTCTGCTGTAAGAGCATGCTGATGTGATTATTTCATGTTGATTTGATTATAATTCAGCCCATCCTCTAACTCTTGTTCAGCACAGATGTGACGCTGGTTCACAGCCAGGCTTGACGGTGCTTTTCAGAAAAGTCTCCATGCTCCATGTTCGGCCACAGTGCCCTGCCTTCCCCTCTGCCTGAGCTCCTCTGACTCACACACTGAATGCTGTTGCTAGGGCTACCATTTATTAATATTGGTCCATAACTTTCAGCCTGATCACCAGGCTACAGCGCGGCCGATAGTCTACACCAGGCACTTATTGTCCCCTGACACACACAGGGGCACATGCATCTGAACACACACACACACAGAAACGACTGTATCCAATTCATGGAGATTGTGAATGAATACACCTATAATGGAGCAAGGTTTTTTGAAAAACAGGGTGTTCACTGAAACTGGACTGCAATATGCAAGCCACTAGCGACCCCTTGTGGTCATAGTGGAGCATGGTAATTTTCCCTGCCCTAAATAGTCACTAATGAACAAGTGAGGAACAAACCAGGAAATTATTGATCGTTTCAGAATAGCTATTAATCGAGCACTACGTGGGAGACGATTAATCATCTACAATCTAGAGTATATTATATATTCTACTTATATATCCATATGTTTTCATTAGTTTGAAGTTGACTTCTCCCTTTGATATACAGTGGGTACGGAAAGTATTCAGACCCCCTTAAATTTTTCACTCTTTGTTATATTGCAGCCATATGCTAAAATCATTTAAGTTCATTTTTTTCCTCATTAATGTACACACAGCACCCCATATTGACAGAAAAACACAGAATTTGTGACATTTTTGCAGATTTATTAAAAAAGAAAAACTGAAATATCACATGGTCATAAGTATTCAGCCCCTTTGCTCAGTATTTAGTAGAAGCACCCTTTTGAGCTAATACAGCCATGAGTCTTTTTGGGAATGATGCAACAAGTTTTCACACCTGCATTTGGGGATCCTCTGCCATTCCTCCTTGCAGATCCTCTCCAGTGCTGTCAGGTTGGATGGTAAACGTTGGTGGACAGCCATTTTCAGGTCTCTCCAGAGATGCTCAATGGG